ACAAGCTTAAAAATCAGATAATAAAAGTGATCCAATTTTTCCTTCTTAATCAAAATTATTTTGGCTCTTCTATGCATTTTGTCTTTTTCACATAAGTTTTAGCAACAACATGTCAATTTCTTCAAAAATACCTTCTAGGATTTTCATTAAGATTGCAGTGAGTCTTTAGGTCAATTTGGGGAGAATTGCCATCTTAATCATATTGAATATTCCAATTCATGAACATGGAATCCATTTAATTAAGTCTTCCTTTGCAATGTTTCTAGATTTCAATGTACAGATCTTACACATCTTTTGTTCAATCTATTCCTAAGTATATTTTATGCTATTGCAAATGGAGATTTAAAAAAATTATTTTCTAAATGTTCATTGCTCAGATATAAGAGTAATTTCTGTTTATTGACCTTATATCCTGAGATCTTGCTGAATTTATTTATTAGTTCTAGAAGTTCTTTTGTAGAATCTTTGGGGTTTTCCTCATGTGCAATTATGTTATCTATAAATAAAGGCAGTTTTACTTCTTCTTGTCCAATACTTATGCATTTTATTTCTTTTCATTGGCATGTTTTACACTGGCTACAACCTCTGAGTACAAATAGTGAGAGAAGACATTTTTGCCTTGTTCCTAATCTAAGGGAGAAATCACTGGGCTTTTCACCTTAGAGTAAAATTTAGGTTTTTAGAAGATCCCTTTTATTAGGTTGAGAAAGTTCCCTTCTATTCCTAATTTGCTGGGTTTTTTTTTTAAATGGAAGAGTATCTAATTTGACAAAAGTTTTTCTGCATCTATTGAAACGATCATATTGTTTTCCTCCTTTATTTTGTTAATTTGTTGAGTTATACTGATTGATTTTGAAATGTTAAGCCAATCTCACATTCCTGGAATAAATCCCACCTGGTGATAATGTCTTACCTTTTTTATGTGTCACTGGTTTCTATTTGCTAATATTTTATTAAGGATTTTTTTATTAAGGATTTTTATGTCTCTATGCATGAGGGATACTCTTCTGTTGTTGTCTTTTTTTTGTTGTGTCTTTATTTGGTTTTGGAATCAGGGTTATATCAGCCTCATAAAATAAGTTGTGAAGTATTCCTTCCTCCTCTATTAAAGAATTTTTGTGAGATTTTTTAGTATTATTTTTTTCCTTAAATGTTTAATAAAATTCACTAGTGAAGCCATCTGAACCTGAAGTTATCTTTGTGGATGAAGTTTTAACTATGAATTCAATTTCTTTATTTTATATAGGCCTATTAAAGTTTTCTACTTCTTTTAAAATCAGTGTTGTTAATTTTTGTCTTTTAAGGAATCTGTCCATTTCATCTAGGTATCACGTATATGGGCATAAAGTTGTCCACAATATTCCCTTATTATTCTTTTCATGACTGTAGGGTCTATAGTATTGTTTTCTCTTTCATTCCTCATGTTATTAATTTTTGTCTTATCTCTTTTTGTCTTGATCAGTCTGATGAGAGCCCTACAAATTTTATTGATCACTTCAGTGAACCAACTTTTCATTTTTCTTTTCTTCATTACTTGTTCATTTTCTCTTTTATTGAGTTCTAGTCTTTATTATTTTCATCCTTCTATTTACGCTGGGTTTAGTTTTTCTTTTTCTAACATCTAAAGTGATAAACTCAGGTAATTGATTTTAAGATTTTTTTTCTTTTCTGATGTAAACAATAAACCTATAAATTTCCCTCTATGTACTGTTCTAGGTCCATCCCATAATTAAAAAAATTTTTTTTTAATGTTTATTTATTTTTGAGAGAGAGAGCACAAGCAGGGGAGGGCAGAGAGAGAGGGAGACACAGAATCTGAAGCAGGCTCCAGGCTGTCAGCCCAGAGCCTGATGGAGGGCTTGAAATCACAAACCATGGGATCACGGCCTGAGCGGAAGCTGAATGCTTAACCGACTGAGCCACCCCGCCACCCCATACCCTAATTTTTTAAATAAAATTTTAATTTTAGAATATTATCAAATTTACAGAAAAGTTGCAAAGATAGCACAGAGTTTCCATATACCCCTCCCTTGTTCCCCTGTTGTTGACACTTTACATTGCTGTGGGACATGTCATAACTAAGGTATCAACATTACTATATTACTATTAATTGAATCAACACATTTTTTGGACTTCACAAGCTTTTCCCTAATATCCTTTTTATTTTCCAGAATCCCATCCAGGATATTCCATTGTATTTAGTCATCAGGTCTCTTTGGTTCCCTTTTGGGCTGTGACAGTTTCTCAGATTTTTATTTTTGATGACCTTGACTGTTTTAAGGAATACTAGTAAGGTATTGCATAGACTCTCTCAGTTTGTCATTCTCATGGTTAGACTGATGTTACGGGTTCAGAGAAGGAAGACTATGAAGGTGAGGTGCCAGTCTTATCACATCATATCAAGGGCATGTATCAGCATGGCTTATCAATGACAACGTTAATTTTGATCATTTGTCTGAGATTGTGTTTGTCAGGTTTCTCTACTGTAAAGTTATTCCCCACCCCACCCCACCCCACCCCCATCTCTTTCCATACTTTACTCTTTAGAAGCAAATCATGAAGTACAGCTCATACTCAAGGAACTGGGGAGTAGTATTTACATAATTTATTTAGAATTCTTCTGTACAGAAGACTTGTCTGTTCTCTCATATTTATATATTCAGTCATTCATTGATATCAATATACATTCATAGATATTTATTTTATATTTTGAGCTATAATCCAATACTGCATCATTGGTTTTGTAGCTCAGAGTGTACCAACTTTGGTCATGGGAGCTTTTTTAGGTTGCTTTTATATCCCTCCAACATGCCCCATCGTTTTGATTTTTGAGCACTTCCTTACTCTCTCTGGCACAAGATGATCCAGGTGCATCTTTTATATGCCCTGTTCCAGTCCTACAGTCAGCACTGCTTTAGCTACATCCCACAATGCTGTTATGTTATATTTTCAATATCATTTAATTCAAAATATCTTCTAATATCCATTATGATTTCTTCTTTAATTGGTGGATTATGTAGAAGTTTGATACTCAGTTGCTAAATATATGGGGCTTTCCTAATTATCTTATTGATTTCTAATTTAATTCCACCATAATCAGAGAACATATTCTATGTGATGTCAATCTGGTTTTTTGTTTTGTTTTGTTTTCAGGGTTTTTTTTGTTGTTGTTGGTAAATGATCCTTTATTGAAATATTTTTCCTTTGTAGTTCTTAACTAGCAGGGCATTCCACTACACCACGATTGATGTCATATGTGATGTCATGAGGGTGATAGCCATCAACCTTGTAGCTCGCAGACTAGGCAGTCCTCAGAATCTCTTTAGTCATTCCAGAGAGTTCTCTAGCTAAAGACTGGTGCCACATCTGTTGGGCAATATTGACAATCTCATCAAAAGTGGTATTTCAACTATGCCTAATATTTTTCTGCTTCTTTCTGTCTCTTGGCAGTTCCTTGAGAGCTTTGATAATCAGAGCAGAGGCAGAGAGTATCACTTCAATCTGGACCTGTCCTGTTCTGAATGGTCATGTCCAATCACTGGTTGCCTTGGTGATGTCATCACCAACCTTTCGTGGAGACAGACCCATGGGGCCGATCTTGGGGGCCGCCAGAGTAGATGTTGGCATCGACTTCCCCACTGGTACACCTCATGTATATAACTTTAATCTCATTAGGGTCAAACTTAGGCTGCATAGTGAAGGCAGCTGGTGTTGGATGAACCTAGATTCCAGACGACCAAAGACAGTTGCACTTCGCCTCCTCCCAGCCAAAAGCCAAAAAGTTATGGTGTCAATCTTTTTTAATTTAAGGCTTGCTTTATGGCCCAGCTTATGATATATCCTGGTAAATACACCATGTCCCCTTGAAAAGAATGTAAAATCTATAAACAGCAATATTTATTTTATAAATAGCAATTCAGTGTAATATTCTATAAATAGCAATTCAATCAAAGTAGTTAACACTGTTGTTTAAATTAAATGCTGAATTTTTTTGGTCTCATTTTATCCATTTCTGGGGAGAGGTGATAAAATCATCAATGACTGTGGAATTGTCTCTTTCTCTTTTTAATTCCATCATTTTGCTTCATATATTTTGAATCTTTGTTATTAAGCATATATATATTTATCATGGTGAAACTATATATATAGTCATGGTGAAATGACCATATTTAATCATTGTGAAATGTTTCGTTTTGATTCTAGTAATACTCTTTGTCTTGAATTCTATTTTTTCTGATATTAATATAGACACTTCAGCTTTCCTATACATACTGTTCACATTGCATTTTTTTCATCCATTTCCTTTCAACATATCTGTGTCTTAACATAATATAACATTAAGTGTGTCTCTTGTAGACAACATATAGTTGGGTCTTGTTTTCTTCAATATGACTATCTCTGCCTTTTAAAAGGAATGTTTTAATCCATTAGTATTTAATGTAATTATTGGTATGGTTGAATTTGGAGCTAACATTTAGATTTGTTTTTTTATATTTTCCCTCTGGTTTTTGTTTTGTTTTCTTTTGTTCCACTGTTCTTCCATTTCTATTTTTTATTGATTCACCTATTTTTAAGACTTAATTTTAATTTTCCTATTGGCTTTTTAGCTTTTCTTCTTTGCATTATTTTTAGTGCTTGCCCTTATAATTATAATACACATCCTTAATTTTTTTATGAAATGCTTCCAGTAAACATAGTTCCATTTCACACAAATTACAAAAACCTCACAACTGTGTTGAATGATATTCCCTCACCCTATCTCATCCTTTGTGTTGTAGTTGATACATAGAAAGAGGTTTCCTTTAGTATTTCTTGTAGTACATGTTTACTTATAGTTAGTTCTCTTTCATCTGAAAATGCCTTTATTTAACCTTGATCCATGTTTGTATCTTTTTTTAACAATATAAACCCTTTATTAACAGACACAGATCATCACTGTGGGCCAAGTGGTTGACCCAGACATCCAGGACACAGCCACAAGTTCAGCTCAGCCACCAAGCCTATCGCTCTGACTCCAATAGGGTGAGCATGTCGTCCTTGCACACAGGGCCTTTCACATTGAAGATGATGGAGTGGTTCATGTCATCCATGAACTCCACACATACCTGCATGCACTGTCCCTGTGAGCTGGTCCTGCCCAGCACAAAAGTGACCCTGGCCAGCTTGATGGACTGCACACAGTTTATGTCCATGAGGGCTGCTCAGCAGCAGTCTCATGGGGAGCTAACCTTGATTCTTGTAGGATATTTTCACTAGAGCAGTGAATTCTGGGTTGATAGTTTTACCCTTCTGTACTTTAAAGATACTCTATTCTTGGGAGCACCTGAGTGGCTCAGTTGGTTAAATATCCAACTTTGGCTCAGGTCATGATCTCACTGTTTCTGAGTTCAAGCCCCATGTCTGACAGCTCAGAGCCTGGAGCCTGTTTCAGAATCTATGCCTCCCTCTCTCTCTCTGCCCCACCCACACTCACACTCTGTCTCTCTCTCAAATATAAATAAACATTTAAAAAAAGTGAAGACACTCTACTCTTCCAACTTCCTTGGTTTTTAATGGGAAATATGTCCTTTTTCTTTTGCTGCCTTCAAGATTTACTCTTTATCTTTGACTTTTAACAGTTTGACTATGATGCCTTTTTTTTTTCTCTGTCCTTCACCTTGAATAATTTCTATTGCTTCATTTTCAAGTTTACTTACTATTTCTTCTGTCATCTCCATTGGATATTAAGTCCATTTGTTTCTAATATTGTATGTTTCAGCACTAAAGTTTCCATGTAGGGTTTTTTTTTTAAAGCAGTTTTCTTTCTCTGCTGAGATTTCTTATCTTTTCATTCATCATGAGAATATTTTCATTGAGCATAATTGTAATTGCCATTTTTAAATTCTTGTGTGCTACTTCCCATATCTGGGTCATCTCATCTCAGTGTCATTTTCAGATTTTCTTTCCTCTCAAGAATATGTTCCACATTCCTGTCTTTATGTATGACATAAATTTGGGTTGTATCCTGGTCATTGTAAATGCTTATGGGATGTTGTAGAAAATCTTGATTCAGTTTTTTTTTTGTCTTTGATAAGAACTACTAACTCTGTTTCTTGGGTGGCAGTTCCTGTATTTGTTCAAGTATTTTTTTCTTTAACTAAATCACTATCAATTTGTTCTGTAAATGTGTGGTTCAAGAGGCCATTAAGAGATATGGGTAGTCAGAATTTGGGATCCTCTTTTTGGCTCTTTTCTTTCCATTATTCTTCCACTCTCTTCAGCAACCACAATTTCTCTGGTTTCAATTTCCTAGTTTCTCAGCCCAGAAAAATTCCAGCATTTCCACAAGCACCCTACCACCTCCAGCATCACATCACTGCACTTGGCCCCAGGGGAAAAAAGCCACAAAAATGAGAAATTATTTTGGAAAAGTCCCCTCCTCTGAGAGTGTATTTCCCTGAAGAGTCTGTCTGCTTCTGTTGACTCTCTGTTGCCTCACATAGCTGCTGCCTCTTTTTTTTTTTTTTTTTTTTTTGCTACTTGTCTAGATTTTATAGGAGATTCGGTCTGGTAAGATCTTACTCTGTCTTACTAGAAGCAGAAACCCCAAGATATTTTAAAGAGCAAATATCATGTCACTCCTTTGCTAAAATCTCATAAACATTTTATCATTGCCATTAGAGCAAAATCCAAAGTCTTTAGTGTGCCCGTCAGTTAGGCTCCAGAGCAGAAAACAGAAGGCACCCCCGAGTGGAATTTTAATGACAGTTTAATAAAAAGACTGGTTACAAAAGTTAAAGGAACCAAAAGGGAGATTGAGGCACTCAGGACTAACAAAAGTGGGAAGTCATTGTGATTGCTAGGGTTTAATGGTCAGAGTGAACAAAGGCTGTTACTAAAATCAATAAAATGGAAGTGGGGCCACCCAACAGGAATTATTGTGATAAGGTACTGCCAGAACTTCAGCACCCAAGCAGGGAGTGAGTAGGAGATGAAATGCCATGCTTCCTCTCCTCTATATTCTCTGATCTTCTGCTCATGCTTCCATTGCCCAGACCCAACTTTAAGTCAGAGGGCCAGGTAGCCAAGTGATGCAGTTTTTAGTGTTTATCCTTTGGGTCTGCAGGGCAGGGCAGGAAAGGACCTACTCTAGCCCGTGCTTACCACTGTTGTTCCCCCCAACACACCCGTACTAGACATCTTTCAGTTCCTCAAATAAGTCTTTTCCACCCTTTATCACATGACGTTCCCTCTCTGAATGTTCTTCCGCCTACCTCTCTTTGCCAACTTCACTGCTATTCAGCCTCTTGTTGTCTGCTTACACCTAAATTCCTCAGAGAGATCTTTTGTGATGCCCCAGACTACACAATGACTTTTTATATATTCCTAAAGCTCCCTGTACTTCTCTCTTACAACACTATGTATGCTCATAGTGACTAATTAGTCATGTGTCACAATTTAATTATTTTCTCTAACATCTTCCTTCCATAAGGAGCTGTGAGCTCAAGGAGAGCAGGAGTGATTTCTATTTTGCTCATCAATCTATATGCAGTGCTTGCACAGGATCTAGCACATGTAGTGCTCAATCAGCATATGAGGACAGACAGCATGTCTGTCTTGCTGGAATATGAGTGAGCTGACTTTGTACTATTAATTTCTGAATACTCTTATCTCCTAGCACAGTGCCTACCATATAATATGTCCTCAATAAATGTGATTATATATATTAATACATATATAAAACCATTTCTATTTTAAACCTATACCATACTTGAAAGTAATGAGTTCTATTAATTGAATGCTCACCGTGGAAGCAGCCCTATCCTTCATTTCTCCTAAAATTGCCTCTTTTCAAGCTTTGGAAACCATATTCCTGGTCCCCAGTTTTATAATTTTCAGATTTCATAACCACACCTATGTCTACTTCTCTATGATGTTTTTGTAGACATTATTTCTTCTGCCTTGCACACACTTGACTTTCCAGACAAAAAGAGTGTAATCTCTTTACACTTGGTCAGACTTCAGGCCCTAGAATATTTTATTCCTTTCTTTTAGAATTTCTCAAACTGTGTCATGTATTATTGATCAGCAAAGTTCAGAGATGCCCATAGCACTAGGTTCTTCCATCAAAGAAGGTGGGGCTTTCTCTTTTCTTTCCAGTCATTGTCATGATGAGCAAGTCAATCAAGTCCTTGGAGAGTCAGTGTATTTATAAAATAGAAGCAATATCTTGCATGTCAATAGTGCATTGTTGAGTACAAACCACCCCAAAGCTTAGTAGCTTAAACCATTTTATTTGCTCATGATTCTGAGTCAGCCATTGGGTTGGGTTCAGTTGGTGGTTTGTCTACTGTTCTTCCTGGGGTCACTCATGCAACTGCAATCAGCTGGCAGATTAGCTGGGGGCTGGTTGTTGGAGGGCCCTCAACTGGGACAACTTGTCTCTGTGCTATGAAGTCTCATCCTCTATAGACAGGTCCTGGCTTCTTCATATGACAGTATAAGAATTCCCAGCAACAAGAGTAGGCAAAACCCTAATACATAAGCACTTTTCAAGCCTACATTTGCATCACATTTATTAATATCCCATTGGCCAAATCAAGTCATAAGGCTAAGCCCAGAATCATTGTCAAAAGGGGCTACATAAAGAATGACTCATTTGGGATCATTACTGTAATGATCTACCATACTTGTTTACTTCAGAGATCTAAGTAGGGATCAAATGAGATGCTACTGGCACAGCACAATCTACAATGAAAGTTATTAGTTTATCAATGTATGTAATTCCATAATTTTAATTTTATTTGTAGTATCTGGGGGGTCTTTCGATGTCCCCTATGAAATTCAAGTCTCTTGGGAATGATGTTAAGGATTAAATTGTATTCCTCAGGGGCGCCTGGGTGGCTCAGTCGGTTAAGCATCTGACTTCGGCTCAGGTCATGATCTCATGGTTGGTGGGTTCGAGCCCCACGTCAGGCTCTGTGCTGACAGCTAGCTCAGAGCCTGGAGACTGTCTTCAGAGTCTATGTCTCCCTCTCTTTCTTTCTTTTTTTTTTTTTTTTTGTTTTTTTTTGTTTGTTTTGTTTGTTTGTTTGTTTGTTTGTTT